ACCGGCACTCTCATGCGCACCACCGTACTATCATGTCGGCTTATGTGATCTTCAGTCCCTCTTTTTACCTTTTTACCTAGTAGGAATTCCACTTGCCACGTTTGAAAGTGAAGAACTCAATATGATTTAGACTGGGCTTCGTGGGGGTGTGACGTCATCCTTTCAAATTAAGTAGTAAATGCCCTCTTCTGGGAACCAGCTAACTGATATTATTTAGCGAAATGATTTTTTTAATACCTGTAAGATGATCCAGCAAAAACTGAAGTAGCTTATGTGTTCCAGCTTCATGGTAAATTCTGCTAAGTTCTGGCGACAACGGATTGGAACGAAGATCTAGAAGAACTCAAATTACTAACATGCAAATGCAATATAACTCATCCATAATTTGCTTCTCAGTAAGGGAACAACACAGCGCGCTTATTACAAAAACATACTGAAAATTTATATCTCATAATAATAATAATAATGCACCATGCGCACTGTTCCAGGTGACGAGCCAATATCAGTGCTCGTGGTGATAATCAGCTGGAAATTATCAAATAAATTACATTATTAATAACAAACCGAGCGTTTGCAAACGGAACAGCTTGCCCAGTTCATAAGGCAGAACCCTTATCTGATTGCCATTGAGGTAAAGGTGACATAACGAGATCAAATCGCCCAGCTCGGCTGGTAGACTACGCAATTTGTTATCCGACAAATCCAGTACAGTCAAGTTTTGCAAGTTCGCAATCGCACATGGAAGCCTGGAAATGAATATACAGAACAGCAGGATTTCACAGACAATCATCACAGAGCCCAGACTGCAAATGGAATACATTTTACAAGTGCAGCTCAGCAATGGCCGAACCTTCTGCTTCGAGCAACTAGTCTCCTGTTTGCGTGCCTTGTCTTCACCAAGCCCACGTGCCAACTTTATGAGCACGCAAACTTTGATAGCTCTAAACAGCATCTTTCAGACGAAATCAGCAGCCTTAAAAAATTAACCTGTTTTCACTTTTCCATCTCCCACCTACATAATTTTAAAGCCATTCTGAAAGAAAAGGCCAACTACATCTCGTCATCCATTCTGAGCACAACACGTACTGTTGTGAATACGTGTTATATACACTAAGAATGCACCCAGAGGGAGGCGGCGGTCGGGGACGTTCTCTTCTGCATCTGTCAGTACCGGATCGCCCAAATTTCAGATCGAAAGATAAAAAATTCAAAAGGTCGCAAAAATTTGGTTAAACAGCTTCAAAAAGCAGGAAAGTGTGTTAAAAACGAAACAACTCCATTTGGACTCTACGTTTCGTGCTGGGACGCTCAGATGCAATATTTCTGGAAATGAAATGAAACAAGAAAAGTTATCGTTTCGAGGAAAGGCACCGAAATTGTGACAAGCCCATCCATCTTTTAAAAGCTGGTCAAGCTGCTGCAGTGATCATCGAACTGCTGACTTCCAAACGTCACAGAGATCAAGTTACTGTTGCTCTCCCAGGCAGAGTCAGGTATGTATTCATACATATAAAGAATCAAACGTGCCTAGGTTCAAACATCCACCTGCATTTACCACAAGGCATTATTATAATGTGATGTTCCTTCAAAAACTTGTAACAAACATTAAAATTG